TTCTGTCTACATATCTATCATCTGTCCATTCATCCATCCATTTATCCATCTATCTTTCTCTATGTGTAGAACTAGAACAACAATATTTAAGTGGCTTCCATACATTATTTCATCTCATGCTTTCAAAAACTTTGAGGTAAGCAGCCATAGTAAAAGTACTGAGTTCACTGAGACTTTTGAAGATTGAGCCAACTATTCGTGATGACACAACCAGTAAATGGTGACGGTGGGAGTTCAACCCATACCTTCTCTGTCCTGCTCTCCTACCACCCACCTGTGCCCCCCCCACCAAATTGCTGATTCAATCCCAGCCACATTAGCTTACAGACTGTTCCCTGAGAAAGTAGGCATCCTTCCTCTGAGCCTTTGCAGTGATTATTCCCATTACCTGGAATGCTCTTTTCTCAGACATCTGACTCAATTGCCCCTTTTAGACTTCGTTCAAATTTCACCTCCCCAGAGAGACTTGTCCTTTCCACAGTTTAAATTGAAACTCCTTCTTCTCTCTTACCCACAATATCAATCCTCCATATACTGTTTTATTCCCCATAGCATTAATTACTGGATAATAACCAGATAATTTACACACATTTGCTGTTTCTTTTCTCTTCTCTAAATGGAATGTAGGTTCTACAAAGCCAGTAATTTGTCTTCTTGAAATTGACACTACTACCTACAATAGTCCACAGCTCATCTCAGATGGATATATTAAACTGACAAATAAGTGAATGAACTGCCTTCCAAATATTATGTGTATCTCCCAAAGTCATCTACCACTAATAAAAGTAGAATATGTATACACACACACACACACATTTGCCCAAGTCACTCATGTTCATTTATCCAAGCCAGATGGCTAGACTAGGCCTGGGCTTGTGCCTTCCAAATATTATGTGTATCTCCCAAAGTCATCTACCACTAATAAAAGTAGAATATGTATACACACACACACACACACACACACACACACACACATATTTGCCCAAGTCACTCATGTTCATTTATCCAAGCCAGATGGCTAGACTAGGCCTGGGCTTGTTCCCTACTTCACTTCTCTCTTGCTTTATCTCCTCACCATCCCCACTGTCAGCTCCTTTAGATCAGGAGCTCATTGATTCATTTATGTTTGTGTCACTGCAGAGTTTCCCATAAGCCCCGTTGACCCTGTTCTGACACCATTTAATTCCACCTTCTTACACAATCACAGGGATGTTTCTAAAATCTACATATAACCCCGTCATCTTTTTGATTACAATCCTTTCATGATTCCCTCTACTTTCAAGCACTCCATTGTGATACTCTGTATAACACTGTGCAGGTTCTGCCCCTGTTCAATCCTGCAGGTGCATCTCCCAGCTTTGCTTTAACACTTCAGCCACACCTGACCACCTGTCTAGTGTTCCACTGGCTGGTCATCACTCTTCCTTCCCCAGCTTTTCACATGCTACTGCTTTGACCCAGAAATAACCCTTCTGCACTTGACCCTTACCTCACCCTCCCCTTTGAAGGTGCGGTTCATTTCATGTCCCCCAGAAGTAGTTTATGTTCTTCATATCTGATCTCATTCTTTTAGTGAACACTTCTCCACTTGTAGTTTTTGGTCTAGTCATCTGTCTCCTCCACTATGTTGTAAACTCCTTCGGGGCAAGAGATGTTTTTCAACTCTGTATCTCTAGAGACTAGCACAGAGTATACAGTAGAATCATCACTGAATGGATTTTAAAAACTAAAATTATAAAGTGTGTTTTCCTACACACATCAGGCCTCCAGTGTGGTCAGAGTGGTGGTAGACAAGCATAGTGAGAAGAGGCAAGAGGGAGAGACATCTGCTTTCTCCCTGCTCTGGACTTCACATCTTCCCAGGGTGTCATCCCTGACACCCAATGCACAGAGACTAAGAACTCAGCACGTGCTGCCATAAAGGGAGGCTGCTTCTACCTCTTGATCACTGAAACACATAAAATTTTGCATAGAGTCAGAGAGTGAACACATCACCACTCACATACATCAATTCTTCCTCCGGAGTTTAGTCAAAGAGCAAAACACATGAGCAGAGGCAGATTCAAGAAGAAGATTTTTAGTATGCATCATCCGGAAAAGATAAGGGGCCATTGTGGTAGTTGGGTAAGGGGAAAGACAGAACCCTCCAAATAGCAGAAAGCATCCTGCCATTTCCAAGAGCAGGGAAAAATGGTCTAGAGCCTGGGTCAGCCTGGTTCCCAGTCAGAGCAGGGAGGCCACAGCTGATGATCCATACAGCTCTCTCCTCCTCTCCACAGCAGGAAGTCTCAAATCCAGCGTGGATCTGACTGGGATCATCTACCCCATGCCCTCCAGTATTCACACACAAGCACAGAACATATGTACACACACACAACATCCACACACACATACAACATACGCACAATGCACACACGCACACACAAACATTCCTTGAGGCATTGGGCCTCCAGCTTCTGTAGGAAGAGAGCAGGTTAAGTTCCACTTGAAGGGACTGAGCCCTTTCCTAGTAGAATGATGTCCTTTGGTTTGTGGAGGAAGACATCCTCCTTCTTTTTTGGGATCCATGACAGGAGAAAAGAATGGATTGGTGGCTTCTAAGACACCCTGGGCTGATGATGAGGCTGCCCCTGTGACTGCACACCATGCCTGTACCACAGGGACAGTTGCTCTGGCCAGGAGCCTCCAAACAGAACTATTTTATCAAGACTGCTGGCTCCTCCAAAGTCAGAAGGTGCACCCTGGCTGATTGGGATCCTGATGTTTTTACAGAAAGGGAGACTAAAAGTTCTCCCCACAAATGCATGGTGCTGTTTCCCATTGTACCACCTGTGCCTCTGTGAGGAGGGCCCCTGAAGCTCTTATGAATAGTGGGATTAGACAAGTCCTCTGACAAACATTTCTTCCTCATGGTGGTGGCTCCTCTAAGAGGGTGTAGAATATTTCTTCTGTTCAGGTGTGCCCAAGTTGCTCTGATGGAAGCAGGAGCACAAGGGCCTCCAGCTTTGCGTGTGGTAATGTCTACTGCCTGTGTTCGGGGCAGGTGGACCCCATGTGGTTGGTATGAAGGTGCAAGAAGTGGGTCCAAACCCAGAGATGGTGCTGGTGTTTGCAACCATAGTGGATGTGGTGAGGCCAGGTGAGCCCAGGAACTCTTACCATCCCATGTCGTCACACTGCCTGTGTTCTGGGCAGGTGGGCCCAAGGTGCCTAGAATGAAGGTGGCACTGGAAGTGTGTCCAAACTGGAAACTGGGTGTTCCAGTCAGTCCTGCCCCAAAGTTGATTTGTCTGGATATAGAACTGGGGCCTGGGGTGGTTTTGGTGATCCCAAAGCTCCCATCACCCATGTGGGTTGCAAGTCCCATAAAGGCCAGTGGGCCCAGAGTGGTGTTGGCAAATGATGAGGTACTGTCCCCAGGGCCAGCCATGCCACTGGCACCTCCAGAGCCAGAAGTCATGTCTTCGCTAATGGAGAAAGCACTTGGAGTGTTAGCAAAAGCAGGCTGGGTGCTGGCAGCTGGACCAAATGCAGACCATGGTGAAGTTGAACCTGCAAGACCGGGCTGCATGATGCTGCCACTAGGTGGCCGAGCTGAGGGGAAGTTAGGACCGTGGCTTGCGCTGGAGCTGGAGGATGCCCCAAAAGGAAAAAGCTGTGAGGTGCTGCCCCCGAGGGACCCCAAACATGGGCTGAGGGGTGACTGCTGGATTGACAGGATGGTTGTAAATTGCGGTCAGTCCCCTGACTGTGCGGGCCAACTGTTGGTGACTTGGGCTGGGGTTGTGCCGCCACTGGGTGGTGTGCTCCCAGAGTCAGGAAGAGTCTTGTTAAATGGGGTGTAGTTGTCACTGGAGATGGGGGGAGAGTGGAAGAGGACAGCCTTGGATGGAGGGGTGGTATCCATAGCCTCGGTGTCAAAGGCAGCCTTGGATGACATTATTTCAGAGGCTCTGCCTACCAAGCTGGAGGCGAATGCAGGAGCTGGGATGGGAAGGCCTGTAACAGCAGGGGCTCTGGGGAGAGAGGCTCTGTGCTGATGCCCAGTGGGGGCCCAAATGTGGGCTGAGGGGTGGTTTGTGGGCCACGGGGGGGGTGTTAAAAGTTGGGGTGGGGCAGGGGAGCTGCTGTGCAGGTAGGTGGGCTGGGGTTGTCTCCTGCCTGTGCAGAGTTCCTATGCCTCCCCCTGCAGTGGATTTGGTAAACTGGGAGCAAGCTCATATTGGAGGGTGGGGGAGATCTGAAGATTACAGCCGTGGAAGGGGGAGTAGTGTCCATGTCCACGACCTCAGGGTCCAGAGTAGGCTGCCGGGACACATGCGCAGATGTGTTGACTGTCATGGAGGATACTGTGGAAGGAATGGGATTGCTGGTGAATTCAAAGGTCCTGGTGGGAGGGATGGGAGGCGGGGTGGGGAAGGAAAGAGGAGAAGGGGAATATACACAGTGATAGGCGGGGATTCCATCACCCGTTATTGGCTGGGTAGGGAAGTTGGAGTCCGTGGTGGTGGTGGTGGGTAACTGGGACCTGCACAGTGCCTGTGGGCAGGAGCAGGGAGTCCGCAGTCTCTGCAGCAGGTGGGGAGGGCTGGCCTGAGGGGCGCTGGAGTCTGCCCTGGCCTCTGTCCCTTCCTGCAAGGCCTCTTCATCCTCCAAGATCCTGCTGTTCCCGCCACTCTCAGTGCTCTCCAAGGTGCTCTGGTCTTCCTCGTAGCTCTATGGGGAACCTTAGGAGGTGGGAGCAGCTCCTCTGGATGCCCCAGTAGGAGCAGCGGCATCGGCATCCCATGTTTCCTGTGGCAGGGCCTCTTCCCGGCAGCTGCAGGTGGAATGCAGCTCCTGGCTGGATTCTCCAGAGGCTTTGCTCCCTGTGGCTCCTTCCCCGGCATCAGTGAACCTGGGCAGCTGGGCTGATGCTCTTCCTCCTGCACTGCCTGGGCTGCCTTCTCTGGCAGCAGGAGGCCGCCTGGGGCTGGGCAGGGAACACTGCTTCCTCTGGATCAGGCCTCCCCAGAGACTGGCCACCTCCAGCAGGGCTGCCGTGAGGTGGGAACGACATGGCCTTCGGAGAGGCAGCTGGTGGCACACAGCTGTGCCCTGTCCCTCAAGTTGTTTCTTGAAGGCTTGGGCTGGATACTTCCCTCCAGTGGCCCAGGACTGCGAGCAGGGGGCCTAGGTGAGGTGGAAGCATGCCCGGTGCTGGGGGAAGCCGTCTTGTTAGAGTCCTGCCCTCCAGTCTGTCCGTGATCCTGCTCCTCCCTGGCCAGACCTTTTCTGGGTGCTTCTTGGGCCCTCACCTCAGTCTCCTTCAGGCAATGATGGGGCAGGACACTGGATGTCACCGGCTCCATGTGGGGACTTCCTTCTCGGGAAGTGAAGGCCGAGAAGGAACAAGGCCGGGGAGGAGGGATCACACGGAGCCCAAGGTCCGGCCATCAGGGAGCTGCGAGCAGACAGCACGGGCTTCTTCGGGGCGTCCCCCAGGATGGCCGGGGAAGGGTCCCCACAGAGGAGAAATTACCCCTCCTGATCAGGTAGTGCCTCCTGGGGTGACGGAAAAGCCACCTGACAGAGGCACCCTACCCGCTTCAGGCCGGGCTTCCTGCCGTCAGGGCCGAGGACAGGTGCAAGAGCCGCGGGGTGACCCCAGACAGCGGGAGAGGGTTCAGGCCGGGGACCTCGAGTGGCCGAGGACGGCGACGCCAGGGCCGGCAGCGGGAAGGAGACGAGGCTCCCTAAACCAGTCGCTGTGAGAGGCACAGACGGAGGGTCCGCGCAGCCTCCATGTCTCCTGAGGACCGAGCAGGCGCTGGGCAGCTCGGCAGCCATCGCTAAGTTCAGTGCTCCTGACGTCGCACTGGAACATGTCTCAGAGAAACGACACCACAGGGAGGGCGCGTGCACACAGCGCGGGGCGCCAGTTGGAACCAGTTGGTGGCGCCAGAGGGCAAAGGGCGTGGTCCCGCGACAGTCCCCAGGCGGACTTTCTAATGCCTGGGGACTTCTGGTGTTTGACACCAGATGAGATCGCATGTGGGGACTGTTGGGGACTGTGGGGTCCGGATTCGCCAGAGCTCGTCCAGCCTTGGGGTGGGCTGTGCAGGCTCCTCGGTGCCTGGAGCAGGAGCAGGGACCTGGCCTGGGCACCCAGGGGCTGCATGGGGACCGTCCCTCTCCCCAGGGCCATGGCCTGCTCGAAGCCGAGCTCGGAAGCAAACAGACAAAGTCGGGGTCCTCAGAGGACTGTCCTGAGCAGCGGGAGCCTGAGCTTGGCAGGGGTCCCAGT